CCCCCCCCCCCCTTGGTATCCCATATTTGGCATAGGGAAATATGGTCATGCTATTCATAAAGTACAAACAAACTAACTACATTATTCGTGAAGGAAGTTCAGCTTTTCTTCTTTGTTAAATGTGTGTGACAGTTTTCAAATTTGGATGCCTGAAGTTAGGCACTCAAATCTAAATTGAGACATCTGAATAAGGGGCCTGATTTTCAGAGGTGCTGAACACCCATATTTGGCATAGGGAAATATGGTCATGCTATTCATAAAGTACAAACAAACTAACTACATTATTCGTGAAGGAAGTTCAGCTTTTCTTCTTTGTTAAATGTGTGTGACAGTTTTCAAATTTGGATGCCTGAAGTTAGGCACTCAAATCTAAATTGAGACATCTGAATAAGGGGCCTGATTTTCAGAGGTGCTGAACACCCAACATTTTTAGTAGTGTCTAATCCCTGGTTACTTTCTAAATTAAAAATTAGGCCACTTATTTAGCTGTCTGAGTGCCCTGTTTCGGCTCCCATTAAGGTAAATGACACAGCCATCACTGACTTTAATGGGAGCAGTACTGGATTCCAAATACGGATTGTGTGACAGTCTTTACTCATCCAAGTTGAAGTGCTTTGCCGTAGTTGTTGTGACCATGCAGAAACCCATGTGGTAGAAGAATTATATTTACTATCCATACAAGTGTTGTGAGGCTCAGGGATTGTAAACTGCTTTGAGATCCTCTCCATGTTCATCCTACAACTGCATATTGATACCAATGCAATAACTTCAAGTGATGAAGTTATCAGAAGACTGGCTGTGTACCTGGCATTTATTCTTGCTATTTGGCTTCCACAGAACTCCCTCCATTCTGTCACCTGTCATGAGAAGGTGGTGGCTGTCCGAAAAGATCACACAGAGTCACTGGGAATGACGGTGGCAGGTGGAACGTGTCACAGGGAATGGGATTTACCCATTTATGTGATAAGTGTTGAGCCTGGAGGAGTCATCAGCAGAGATGGCAGAATGAAAACAGGTAAAGCTAAAGGGGTTTGGAGGCCTGCTTGAATTGAAAGCTCCCTTTTGACAAACTGAAAGATCACAAAAAGGGTGTCACCCTCTGCATGTTTCTGCATGTTTCTGAGGTGAGAGAAACACTTACCTGGAAGAGTGTTTAAAAGAAGGCAAACTCCTTAGCTGAGATCTATGGCTGGAGGGACCCAGCTTCTCTCAGCTACTTCTGTAGCTCCATCCCTCTACCCTCCTCTCAGAGCCTGTGGTTGCTCTCTGTGGGGCCTGCCAGTGCACTGAGGCAATAGACGTGGGGAGCGCAGGGCTGAGTAGTAATATAATGTAAATCATTCCACCACCCCCACAGAGCTGCTGAAGTCAATACAAAAAATAGTGCAGCCTGAGGGTGTATAGTATAGCATAGCTCTTCTACTGAGCTTCCATTCCCAAAGTCTTTTCCACGGGGAGAGACTCTTTCCTCAACCAGATGATGTGAGGGGACCTCAGCAAAGGGATCCTTGCAGAGATTTCCTATTTAGTATCAATTCCTAGGGCTTTTACCACGAGGGGAGGCTGACTGGACCTAAATTATTTATTACATACAAAAATATGTTTTATGAACATTAAGGTTGTAAAGTCAAGCACTCAGGACAACATTCAGATAGCTCATACCCACTTTATTTGGCCCCCTCGTCTGTATATATATTGTGACAGTCTTCAGTTACATGATCACATACTATTTTCCCACAGGACCCATTCAATGCACAGGATGGACAGTGCTCGCTTAATAAACAGCTTTTCAATATTTTGTTTTATCCTCATTTTCCAATCTGCAGCTCCCAGCCTTATTTATTCAAACCTTTCCTCAAAGGCTTTTCAGTTATGCTCTTCACAATAGTATTAATGTCAAAATTGTCCACTAATATTAAATGCCCAGTTGGTGACACCTAGGACCTGGCTTTTTCATGTTATCTAGCATTATATAGCATATCCTGTGTTCCAATCACAGACCTCATTCATTACATGCAATACTCAGTCCTGCCTCATTCATGACACACCTCCTGTCATCTGCAACAAGTGAGGCTTACATATATTATTAGCCTCCTTTACTGTACAATCTTCATTTATTTCCAGTGTACCAGCCATTCTATGCACTGAATGAGACGGGGGTCCTGTGGGAAAAAAGTATGTGATCCTGTAATTAAAGATTTCATCATAATAAATACATGCAAGGCAGACAAATTAAGAACACATGGGCAACCTTAATTCTGGCATTTCCCAACTTTTGAGTGCTTGACTTTGCAACTTTAACTTCCTTCTAGAGTTTTTGTATGTAACTTCCTAGATTTTCAAAAAAGAAAATTAGAAAAATTTTTTTTTTATAATGCAGACCCATTTACTCCATATGATTCATCTGCAGGGTTAAAACCTTTAGAGCCCCAGCGCTGCTTGGCTTTTGAGCAAATAGAGTAAGTAATAGCAGGTGTTGATTTTCATCCTCTATGTTGGCCAACCACTAAAGGGAGATGAGAGATTTTGCCTAGTGGGTTTGACAGCAGACAAATATTGAGACTATGGATTCTGTTCCAGGTTCTAAGTAAAATGTGTTGTAGTGATTACAGATCCATTTCCCTCAGCTCCCATCTTATCTTTGTCCTAATCCCAGACTTCATCTTGCTTCAGTCTCTCATTCTAGCACCCGTCTCTGCCTCCACACAGCTCCAAATCCCAGTGCTCCTCACCTGTTTTCATTTCAGTCTGGCTGCTTCCTTTTTTACTTTTTACTGTCTGGGTGCCAGGAGGAGGAGCACAGAGAGCCTGCTTTCTTCCTGGCAACAAAGGCATCCTCAGTCCCTGAAGCTATGGATTAGATCATGCACCATACAGACAGAATTTTAGGTATCCTTGTTACAATGTGTGGAGCTACTGGAGTTTCTCTGAAAAACAGATTAAGAATTGTATTATCTATTTTTATGCATTAAAACAACCTGTGTTTCCCTACCTTCATTCTGAGACATGGCTGAGTCATCTTAGCTTAAATTTTCCAAGTATTCAGCCCTTGACAGATGTTTCGCATGGGAAATTTCAGCCCAAAGTGCTTAAAATTTGGCAAAGTTATAAATAACTGTAACCACAATTTTATAATGGAAAATGTTGGCCAACCTGAGCTATAGACATCACTACTTTGCCACTTAGAATTAAATGCTGATCAGGTGCTTAGCACTGCTCAGGGTGCCTGTCCATATAGTCCGTACCACAAGAAGTTTATGGTGTAAGGGTATGGATGTGCTGTAGCTATAGTAGTGTAGATATTTCCTACATCAGTGCAAGAGGTTTTTGGATGTAGTTAATCCATCTCTCCCAGAGATGATTGCTAAGTAGATGAAAGAGTTGTTCCGTCAACTTGGCTACATCTAAAGTGGGGGTTAAGTTGGCTTAAGTATGTTGTTCAGGGCCCAACATTTTTCACAGCCTTGAATGGAATAGCTAAGTCAAGCTATATTTAGGAGTAGACCCAGAATAAGAGACAGACACAGATAAGATAAAATGCACAGGAGGCAACCCAGGAAGCTTTTAGCTTGGAATTTGTTCCAAGTTGTAAGGTAGCAATTCCCATTCTGGTACTTGTGCTCTCACTGATCATTATGGGATCATTTTTATTTTACAACTGTTATTTTTCATTTGTTGTATTGCATGAGGCAACCAGAGGCACTAGGCATATTTAAATACACATTAAATCTGCATTGGTACCAATTTCATAGAAAACCTGCTAAATTTGCTCTCCTCAGTTTAGGACAAGTAATAGCATCCGGGGAGAAATAAAAACAAAAACCCTTTCTCCCCCATATTTTAAATTGTTTGAAAACAAACCCTTGAATGTAAACAATAGCATTTGAAGTTCATTTCACAGACCTTAATTATCTCAGTGCCATGTACGAATATTATTCCTATAGTTTCTCTAGCTATACTGAGGCAGAAACATGGTGACCAATCATGGGGGAAATCAACATTCCAGATGGGATTCAAATTTTAGAATTCAAATCCATGCTCTTTAGCCCTACTTTGTCCCATTTTTATTTCTGCATCATTTTAGAAAGGATATAAACTGCCCTACATGGTTAGCTGATGATTGCAACCATGTAAGGGACTTGTGATATTCCCTTCCAGTTCCTCACCTGCTGTACATAGTGTGCTGGGGTGAGGGAGGACATCAGTGGTCCCAATTTGCTGGAGAATCTCACCCAACATACCTTCCTTTTTACACCAGTTCTTTTTAGAGTAGCTCTGTTGTGATAATTGAGCCTGCAAATTTACCCTAATTTACTCTCAACAGTAAAAAATGAGTGAAAGGCTGTAAGATATTGCAACAACCTTTAATAACAAATGTTGAGAAAAGATGCAAAAGCAAGACTGAAAAGTTTGAATGTGCTCCCCACCCCCAAAAAAGGGCTGCTGATGTAACTGAAGGACTTTGAGAAGATCATGCTTGGTAAAACAGAAATCAGTAAAGCAAAAATTGGGGTGTCAACGTAGACCTAACTGGTGGATAAAATAATTACATGGGCTGTTTTGCCTGTTGTTGCCTTTTGGAACCCTTAGAGAAACTTTGGGAGGCACATTCAAAAAAGGAGGGAAATTGGCTACTGAACTTTACCACCATGATTGCCAACCCTAGCATCTTCTGGGATGCCAAAGAAGATCCAAAGAGAGAGCAGGGCAAAATTTTCACCTCTACTAGCTGAAATCCCACCTCTACCTAGGATAAGAAGCTTCCTGTCTCCTCTCCCTTTCTGGCACTCCGTGTCCTTTTCCTTCCCTGCCTTATTTTTCTGCTTTTCTTTTGCTCCTTTTGTTTAATAAGAGTCTAGCTTAGCCAGTCAAGACTGTGCATTGTAATGTAAGCCTGTGGCTAGAACGAGGCATCTAAAAGCAATGTCCTATACAGCCTTATTCTGACATGAGTCTGTCAGGTTCCCGAATGGCTGATAAGAAATCTTCCGCAAAAAGTTCTTGCGCAAGAGAGCATCCACTCTGCCATGGATGCTCTTACACAAGAAAGCTCTGATGGCCATTTGCAGAATGGCCATCAGAGCACCTGTGCTTTTTCCCATAGGGGTTTCTTGTGCAAGAAACCTGTTGCCCGTCTACACATGCCTTTTTGCGCAAGAGCTTGTGTGCAAAAAGGTTTATTCCTTGTAGAAAGAGGAATAACTCTTGTGCAAAAAGCCCTGTGTTGTTACGATCTACTGTACTTTTACTTGCACAAAAACGCGTTTGTAGTATGGACTCTCCGAGTCTTTCCGCAAAACCAGCCATTTTTGCACCAAAACTCTGCAGTGTAGACATAGCCTCAGTGTCTATTTCATGTTTGTTTCATATGAAAATATTAACAAACACTTTTGATAGGCAACAAGTTTCCAGCCCTGGGCTATGCCTGAAATGCTTTTTGTTTGAAAGAAAAAAATTAAAGCCTTAAAACATTTTCTCCTTTTAAGATGGTTCTGCTTATTGTCCTTCAGGTGATATTTTACTGAACGTGAATGGAATTGACCTGACTGGTGTCAGCCGTAGTGAGGCAGTAGCCCTTTTGAAAAACACCACCTCGTCTGTAGTACTCAAAGCCTTGGAAATGAAAGAATGTAAGGCCCAGGAGGACATGAGCCATGTATCACTCCCTGACACCAATCAGAAGACATCTGATAACAGTGAATGGTCACCTTCCTGGGTTATGTGGCTTGAGCTGCCACGGTAAGTCCAAAAATTACATCCTTGTGTTGAAGGGGAGTGGGAGGAAAGATTTATGTTTCTTGAATGGCTCTTGCTTTTGGCCTGATTGATTACACTGACATCTTAATTAAATCCAGGCTCTGTCAAAAATCTTTATTGTAAATACCTCTTTGTAACTGTATATACATATATGGAAAATAGACAGGGCTGCTTTTAAGGGAGGAAAGAGAGATCCTGAACAGCCCTATAGTCAAAAATATGCTAGAGAATGAAGGGAAAAGTCTGAATGGATGCAGGAGCTCAGAGAACAGGGATCTGAGCCCTTTGGACCACCCTGCAAAGTCCACAACTACCCCTGCAGCACTCAAGCTTCACAGACTACTGTGTTAAATGCAGCTGAATTGTTTGACTTTACCCAGATGTTAAAACGTGCACATAGTTGGTGCATTTCTCAGAATTGCCTTCCCTGACTCCACCACCTGCCTGAGAGAAGTTCATTTGTAAGATACAGGAAGCAGCTGGTTTGTAGTTTTAGTAAAAATAAGCAGCCACATAGTATATAGTTTAATTGTCACACAACGTTCATCTTGCAATGCTTGTTTGAACCTGAGCTTTTAATGAACACTTGGCCTGCTTCAGGGAGTCCACTGAACTAATGCCACAGTGTGTGACATTCTAATGCTTAAATGGAACAAAACTGTCATTGGGGTTTCAAGGACAGTGGAATTTGACTGAACAGTTTATATAGGCTTTACTTCTTCACCTGAACTGTCAGAGATGCAGAGAATCAATAAGCAATAGCATACCGTTAAGATCAAGCAGTCAGATATCTTTGGCTTTCTGTGCTGGAAGGGACTTTACCCTTTTGAACAGCATCTGAGTTTGAGCCTCTCTGCTCCAGAAAATACACAAGTACAACCCTCACCCTTTTAACTAAAGGAAAATTACCACCATGTCAGCAGATCTGAAAACAGGAAATTCATTGTAATCATATCCCCAGCTGCAACTCAACTCACAGAAAAGGGTCTCAGTGAGGATGAAGACTAGGGGAATTACTATGCTGAACTAGTACACTGGTCTTCTTAAATTTAAATGAAAGGAGGAAAAAAGATTATTAGAATTGACAGTAACAGAGGTGCACTTCACCCTTATTAGTACTTGCTTATTGGGTAGGCCCCAAACATTAGACCTGGATTTATTCTCTTCACAATAATGTTATCAGATACTTCAATCTCACCTAGTGCTAATACTAGTTACCCTTCTGTTCTCTCTTTGGCTCTCTGGTGCCCACACTACACATCTGGAAGTCCTTCAAGTTCTGTCACCAGGACATGTATCATTAATACACATTAACTCATTTCCCACCAGTCTGAGAATTTAACCTTTCACTATTAGGCTTCCAGTATATTGTTGGCAAGAGCCACTCCCCACTGGCTTTAAAGGTTATTTTCAAAAGCCTTGCTACACAGTCCCAGCTTGTCTTGGGGAAAAGATGATTCAATTCAAATACAGTTCTGCTTAGTCAGTGTTCATCTTGATTGCTTAATATGCAAGTGTGGTGCAATGGGAAGAAGTCTCAATGAACAAGAGCATGGTACATTTAGATACTATAATTAAAGTTCAACAGCAAGAGACAATGCCCCTGAGGAAGAGGAATGCAAGGAACAAGCAGGTCAGGTCATGCAGGATAGGAAGCTGGAGAAGGAAAAGCAGGCAGAAAGAGAAAGGAAAGAAAACGGAGGAGAACTATAGAACATGATATAGTTCTATATATGCCCTAAAGCAGGGCTACTCAACACGTGGCCTGTTTGCAGCCCATGGTGTGGTTTGGGTTTACACCGGGCTCAATATGGGGCCTGCGGGGGAGGGGATCCTTTGAATATGGCCTCTGCTGGGAACACATTCCACAACAGCAAGGTGTCTCCTGGGTGGGGTGAGCATTGAAAGATGCAAGTGGACAGGCTGGATGGAACAGATGGGTACAGGGTGTCCAGAGTTTCTAGCCCCCACGGAGGAGAGGCCGGGAATGCTGGGGCATTATGGAAAGTGCTTTGTATTCATGCCCGTCAGTGTGAGAAGCTATTTGCATATATATTTGCATGTATGTATGCAACCAGAGTTAAGTTGCAGCCCTCAGCATGTGCAGAGAGTATCACTGTGGCCCCCAGAGCTTCCAAAGTTGAGTAGACCTGTCCTACAAGCATAGGAAAAGGTAGGGCAAGAAGGAAGAAAAGACACTGGCCTAAGCAACATCTTGGAGTAAGTTTTGTTTCCTCTTAAATCATACATCTACAATCACGAATTAAGACTAGTGTTTCTCTGGGCATGCCTTTATGCTGATGCAAATCCTGTAAATGAGCAATATGTTCCCCTAATATAGCTCACCTCTTTTCCAAGTACTGTATATATATATATATATATATATATATATATA